TCTTGCAAAGAACTTTTAAAAAAAGACCACAAGAGGTCTGCTGTTGACACTATGGATTCCTTTTGAATCATGTGTTTGCATACCTATCAGTGCTAATACTGCATGGCATCATCAGTATCATGCCCTGGTTGAGAATCACTGTCCTAAACCATCAATACTTTCACTTCATTCTCCATCATAGCCACTAGTTTATAGCAGTCAGGATTCAGTGGGCAAACGAAACAATGGTTTTCTTCCTGCAGTCAACCACAGCAATAAAAAGCATTGTTATATATATTTCCCATGAAGATTAGTTAATGAAGAAAACCTGAGATTTTTCATCCATAAAAGAATATAAAACAGATATTATTTGTTGTTTTTTTTTAAAAAGGGTTTAGTATAAGGAAAATATCCTGTTTGTGGAAAACTAATAGTATGTAAAAACAAACCAGCATTTAATTACTCTACCTGTGGTTTTTACCTTAGAAATCAGTAAAAGTCAACCTGTTTAGTCAACGCTGGGAAGAGGAATAATGTATAGAAGTTTCTTTTAATCATTGTGCATTTACCTTAGTACGCAAAGGTTTGTGTTGGTACATGGAACAAAAAATACTTTCAAAATGAAAACATGTCATTTTGTTTTGTGATTGCACTTGAAAAAGTTGTCCCCTAGTTGAAGGACTAAATCAACCAGTCTAAACATCGTCTGCACCGTACACTGCAGTGCATTGCAGATATTACCTGAGGAAGAAAGGAGGCTCCTGGAGTGAGTAAGTGTCAGACCTTGGTGTAGTGTCCAAATCTATATCAGTCTTGAAATGATTCGAAGGTAGAAGGATGCTACATATTCTTTCAGGCTCCTGTCAATAGTTATTACTTGAAAATAGTCTATCATAACAGTTCCTTGCTAGTAAGAGTCTGATAAATTGGAAGCTTCACCCTTCTTCTCCTTCCCCTCTCTCCAGTCTCTGGAAGGGAAAGCTTTATTTTTGTCCTCATTATAGAACCTCTTACCTTCTGGGAATGGAATACTCTTCTCCTTCAGCATCTTTTTGCTGGTACAAGGGGAGAGCCTTCTGCTTTTTTCACACACGGCTGTATATTGTCTCTTTTCTGTTTCCTCATTCAAATTCACCTGGCAAGTCAAGATCCAAAAGAGCGTACTTCATAAATCAAGGGTCAAATCCTGTAAAAATTTGCAGAAGCATGAGAGAGTGAGTCTAGAAGAAGAAAAACTTTCCTGCTAAGAACATGACCGAAGTAGTAGGCTTCATTATAGGAATGGCTGTCTTTCTGACAGAGAAATAATAGCACTGGCACCATCTGAATTTCTTTAGGAAAAAGAATAGAGATGATGCAAAAGATGATGATCCTGAAATACAGCATTATCATGCTGTACGAGGGTGCAGCAGAGACTGACTGCCTCTCTTTTCCGGATCTACTGGGTCTCCTACACCACCATCTTCTTTTTTTGCTAGCTCAGGGGACTCCTCTCACCCCTAACCCCTGCTCTTTACAGCTCCCAACTGGGGCCAAGATCTGTGGTTTTAACTCTGGGCTCCTGTCCCCTTTCAGACAGTAATTTCCCCTGGGTCCACTGTCCGGGATACACCCCATTCCCATGTTCTACAAAATTTCATATCCAACTTTTATGCATTTTCAGCTAGGTGTCTTCCCTTTTGTACCTGGAAAGGGGAGCACCTTAATTCATTAGCCCTATCGTTCAATTGCAGGGCCACTGGACATCTCTGGATAAACAAGACTTGAAGTCCCCTTTGCTGCCTAGTTAACTATCCAGCCACCCACCTCTCCATGGACTCAGTAGTCACTTCCACTGAGTTCCCAGTTGGGCATATCCAGGCTAATTCTCCCTTCAGGGCTGGCCACAGTTAGCTCATCAAGCCTTGCTTGATGTACCTAAGTTAGTTCCTGGTCCAGTCAGGTAGGCCTGCTTCCAATTGCTTCGTTTCATAATGCCATAGAAGATCAATTAATTACCAAGGAATTCAACAGTCTCCCATAATTCATAGAAGATAAAATAGTTATCCCCAGACTCATTGGTCTCAACACATTTTACAAACTCAATTAATTTTCTCTTCTTCTGACGGATAACTAATGCTCCAAACTTGCAGGATTATTCCATCAGTTCCTCAGCTATCTGAAATCACTCTCCCCTAATGCATTACCTCCCTGGGAGCTGCACTTGCCCTTCCACTGGTCGAGTTCCTCTTCACTCGCCAGGTCTCACTCGCTGGTCCAAGTCCCGTCTCCCCAGCTTAACAGGCAATGCTACCATGTCCCCAGGCTGCTGCTAGAAGTTCCAGCTTCATGTCTGTATGCAGTGTACATGGCACTCCAAGCTTGCTATGTGTTCCCCTCTCCAGGAGATATCTGTGTCTCCGTTTTCTAGCCTGAGGGCTTACTCCCTATGCATGTGACAGTGTGCAGCCAGGATTTTGCTTCCTCTCCACGGACTGCATATGGACCCCTTCTCTGGCCACTGTGGTGGCCTTGTAACCCCACCAGTCCTGGTAGGGTAAGTTTGTTCTCTGACCCCGTCCTGCCGGCGTTCATCACTTGGAATGGACTGGAGCCAGTTTCCTGTTATACATTAAATAAAAAAATCATCTTCAGAAAAAAATATCTTCTTGTACCAAGAGTTATCTGATGGGGAAAATCTCTCTGAACTCCTTAGCACGAGCTTCTCATGTATATTGCTTGTTAAAATACAAATTCAGTGGAATAAAACTATTGCATAAAATTATGCAATCTTTTATTTTATGCCTACTTGAAAATATCCATGTAAGAGGCCTTATACTAAGGCATGTGAAAGCACGCTCAGCTATTTAAAGGGAACAATTAATTTGCAGATTAACCTGCTTTGAAAGTTTTGTTCCTTTTTCAAGCAAGTTACTCTTGAGGTGATTATACCTAGAAATGGGTTTCTGTTTGTTCTGTGCATTTGACAGAATTTTATTTCTAATAAGTTTAACATTTTGCACAGTTTGTTCAGCTCCTCTCTTGCAGAGAGACCATTAACCATAAAGAAAGGAGAAGGAAATGAATGATCTTTTAGGGAAAAAAATCAAATTGGGTCAGTTTTTTATGTTTTGGGGGTTTTTTTGTTTTGCTACTGTAGCAAAATTATGTCAGTTATTTGAGGGCAAAAGCTTGATTTTAAATAAATTGCTTGACTGCAATTTAAGTATATTTATTTATAGAATCTAATGGGAATATCCTTTGCATTTGCAATGAATATGTTTCTTTCAGTGTTTCATTCACAGTGTCAGATCAAATAATATATAGATTATGAGTAGGATTCAGACAATGAACCCTTGTCTTTGTATTAATAAAAGACCTTTATTAACAAAATCTAGCCAGAGTTGTTATCTACCACTGAACTCAGTTCCCTAATCTCAAGCAACATCTATAGATCAGTCTATACTACTTCAGACAGTCCTCTAATATCATGGTTCGTGTGCATGCCCACAAGAGAGGAAGTAAAGCCCTATTCTGCTGCTGAGGACATTTTGTTTAAAACAAAAGCGCAGTTTATTACAAGATCCGCATTTAAAATTTCTGCTCATCTCAAATAGGGTAATTGTTTCAGTTCCACTGTTTCTTTTGTGAACAGTAGTGTGCTTCTATAGTGTTGATGCTGTGTTGTTTGTTAAACTTTATAGAGTGAGAATTTTTTTTACTTAAACATCTGATGTTTTGCTTTAGTTCTTGCTCTCTTTTGTGCTAACAAGTTCTTTATTACTGGATTTTCTGGTGAGATAGCGAAGTGCTGTTCCATGCTGTTTCTCTTTCTCTCTGTGCGAGTTAAGCATACTACAATGCTAGGGACTGGACTTCTCTTTTTACTCATAAAGGCCACTTCAGGTAATTTTAAGAGCAGACTGGGCTCCAAAATAAAACACTTATCATTTTACTTGTTTGTTTTGGCACTTTCCAAGGGCCTCTGAGATGGCAGGTGTGAGATGATGAGATTCTGTAAGAATCAGAGACAGAAAAGAAATAACCTACATATTTTAAGTTTAGTCTTTTACAGATTTTGTACTAGTAGAATTTGCTTGGCTTGGTTTGGTTTTTCTTGAAACCAGAATAGTTACTTGTTACCATCCACTTTTTGGACACAGTTAGAAATTGGCTTTTTATTCTGCCAGGTTCTTCCTCTTTCTGTATAGGAATAGCCATACCAGTATTAAGCACCTTTATATAGCTCTAGAATACAGTTTTCTGTTACGATTTTAAGTGTGTATTTATGGAGCTTCATTACACTTTTATATCCCTCTTATATACTTGCCTGATGAAAATATAGACACATGTCTAAACAAACATAGCTTAGATTCAAAAGCGTAATACTACATAAAATGTTTTAAAATAAACTTTGTCAAAGTCTATTCTGTAATTCATTACACACTTCATATTTGAGGGGAACTAACCTCAACCTATGCCAAATTTCTTGTCTTAAAATTTTGCTATGACTGTGAAATTAAATTGATCAGTTTCCTGACTTCCAAGAAATTCTTCATGTTATTGACAAAAATAGTTTAAGTTGTTCCTTATAGTTCAACCAGACCGGTACAACTTTAGGAGAACAAGTCAAACTTTTTTTTAACTTGTGCCTCAACACAATTTTTGGCAATTACAAAAGCTTTATTTACATCTTCCCTGGATCAGTGTTATTGGTAATTATTATAGTCAAAAAGCAGCATTCTACTTTGAAATCTTATAGTGAGTATACAGTTCTGCTCTTAGGACATAAGTCTCTACTTCTCAGCCAGGTACAATGTAATGGATGTGATTTTAACATAAATACAGAACTTATATAGTGCCACTAATACAGAATCACTTTCAGAGCACATTTACGCTTTTTTATACTTTAAATTCTTTAGTTGACTCACCCCAAGCCACTGCATATGACTTATTTTTATATAAACTATATTTTCTGTATTACCTAGATGTTTTCAGAACTAAGGTTGTAGTTGTTAAGTATCTTCTTCTTTCTTTGACAGGAAATTCTGGTGATTAAAGATCATGGCAACCATAGAGGAACTGGCCCATCAAATTATTGAACAGCAAATGGGAGAGGTACCTAAATTTTTTTAGACCTGTGTGAGATGAATTGAACACAAAAACATTTGTACTTTGCTATCTGAAGTCCAAAGTCATGAAAGCATAATCTCAGTTGGCCTAAAGCTCTAGCAAAGCCTCCCATAGGAGAGTTCTTGGCATCTCCAGGTTGTGAGTAAAACAGTGGCCATGGCATCTCCCCAAGAAACCCCAGAACTTTCCTAAAGATAGAAATCGCTAAGTTATGGCTGGCCATCTGGTGGACCACTGACCACATGCAGCCCACAAGGCATTAAATTGTAGCCCTTGGGCTCCCACCCAATCATCACCACTCCCTCCTACTGCTCTGGCTACAATAGCAGCTGGAATCTCCAAGCTCCTCCTGGCTTTCGCTTCCTGTCCCTTCTCCAGGCAGCAGGTCAGTGCAGTGTGGTGAGCGGAAGGTGAGGATGGGTCCGTATGGGTGCATTGTGCAAGAGTGGCATGGGGAAGGCACTAGGGCTGGCACTGGTTTGGCCTGTCTGGTGTACTTCCCCTGCTGGTGTAACCTGCTGGGCATGTGAACCCAAGCCACTTAGTCCAGGACTGTCCAACTTCTCAGCCAGTGGTTCTCCAGCTGTGTAGTGTGGACCACTTGTCATCAGCAATCTGTCCACTGAAATGGTACTGATTTTCCTCACTTCTGCCTATAATAATGAATTGAAGACCTTTAAAAATACATTACTCTTTTCCCATGTAAGCAATTGTTCTAATTGCTACCATCATGTTATATTATGCTCCTGGAAGTGGCAGTGGTTCACATCTTTAGAAGTCTTCAGGATGCTTGGCATAAGCAAAGAAGAGGATGGAAAGTTAGTTTTCCTTCCTGAGAACCACTTGTTATAGATCCTATAATCACTAAATAGTGTCTAAAATAAGCACTTTTAGAACTGCATGAACAGATTAGAGAGCATATGAAGAACACTTAGTTTTGAACAGTCTCCATTATAGTGAATCTGACAATATTTAAGGCATGAATAGAAATAAAAGACTAGACAGTATTTTCCTGCATACCACACTCCTCCAAATAAGAATGGCACCTTGTTTTTGGAAGGCTGAATTTAGAAAAAAAAAGATTTTTTTCTGGAGTCATGGATGACTTTGATATAGAATAAGTCCCCTGGAAATACGTTGTATATAGGAATGTGGTCTCCTAGGAGACATTTTGAGTGAGGCAACAGGAGCGTCCTGGTGTGGCAAGACAGCAACAAGGCTAGGCCCCAAACCCTTGCAAGAGCAAGACCATTACTTCTTTACTGCAAATAGTTCTTTATATAAGTTTCTGTAAAAAATAAAGGGTTATTTTCATTCCACAAAATTTAAGATACAACAAACAGCATACTGCAGCTCACTTGCCAAGAGCCAGCTCATTTCTGCCTCAGACACAAGTTACAAAGTTCTGCCAGTAGCAGCAATGAAAGGGTTAACACAGGGCTTCACCCCCTCTGCCTGCTGGGCCAGAAACCACAGCTGTCTTGGCAGCCATTAGACCACAGTGTCTCCCTGCTTCTGTTCTTGCAAAGTTAAATTATCTTCCCTGCTTAAGACACACTCCCGAGTTTCAGAGAGCTGATTTTGGGAGGAAACGTGTGTTGTATACAGATAAATGTGGTACATGAAAATGGTACAGTCGTACTTGAAATCTTTGCTCTTTGGTATATTTTAGGGTTTCCTGCTTTATTGTCAGGTATTCTCTAGGCTTCAGGTTCCCATTGATTCTAGTACTGCTGAATACAAAGCTTTCCTCTCCTGACTTGTTAGTTTTGTTCTGTATGGGATCTTATACTGCCATCATTACGGTAGCATCCGAGCAGTTTGCAGTGGTGCAGTAAATGACATCACAAACTTCTTTCCCATGTGATTCATTTTGGGTTTCGTCCTGTTCCCAGGCAAGAACTGTGTATGGATGATAGTGTTTTGTTTTGGTAGCATAGCTTTCAGATGCATAAAAATTGCAGTGAGGCTGGCTTTTCTTTGGTTTCATTTTGTTTGCAGATAAGTGCGTGCGTGCGTGCGTGCGTGCGTGCGTGCGTGCGTGCGTGCGCGCGCACGCACGCGCAGCAGTGTATTAGAGAAAGCAGGTTGAAGCGCAGTTTGTATATGAATGGGAAGTTATTTATTTATTTATTTGATTTATATTCCACTCCTAACAAGGCTTGTGGTGGCTTACAATAAGAGGTTAGGTTTTTAGTACTCTTGACTTCTTATAGTCCATTCTAGAGTCTTGAATAGCTGCCACCCCCAACGTGCAAAAAATCATGTTTGAGGCAGAGATGAGGTTGTTAGCTCTGCTATTCCAATAGATTGACTGTGCCTGAAAGGTTGAGTTTTTGACCACAGTCTTGTCCAAAACCTGTAGATCATCTTTTTTAATATAATGGACCCCATCCATTCAACACAGTATGAATACAGACCCAAGACATCAAGCATGACTCTAGAATTCAATCTATCTTTGGCTAATTTCAGATGCACATAACTTTAAAAAAAAAATCCAGTACCCAATTCATCCTTTTCACAGTAGTCAAATTTACTTCAAAATCAGAAGCAAAGCAAAACAAAGAGAAATTAAGACAAATTCTTCAGCTGATGGGCCAGCCAAGCTGCCTTTAACTACATCTTTTTTTTCTGTTGAGAAGAGGCCACTTTTATTGGAGTAACAGTGCCCATCTGCTCTCCCTGACAATGTCTCAGCAAGCAGTGTTGTTTAAGTTATTGTATTTTACCTGTCACTGTTCAATAATAGTAAAGCTGTCTTCCTTTATCACACAGTTAAACTAGAGTGAGAGAACAGCTGCACACTCTTCACAGCGGCTAGTTTTGTGTCTCGCATCTTTGTGGATTTGATTGTTTTGGTGTGTGAAAAGTAGGAGGGTGCTTCTGGTATGTAACAGATTGCTAATAAGTCCAACTAGACTTGCATACTATTGTTACAGCTTCCCTTTGTGATGGCAGACTTCTAGCATAATAACCAGGCAGTGGTAAAAATGTTGCTTAATTGAATATTTTCATTTCTTATTGCTCAGGCTTTTATTTACCATTGTTAGATTTTGTTATTGAGAAAAGGATGTTGGAGCAGATGCAGAAATCTAGTTTGGAGCAGTTAAGTCTTGCCTTGACTCATGGGTGTCTCCAACTTGTACCAGTATCAGTAGTGCAAAGACTCCTGTTATATTTGGCAGACTACCAACACTACAACTAAGTAGTGTTTCCTCTTGGAATTCTGGCACTATCAATAAGTTGCTGTCTTTCTGATTCTATATGTTTTTATGGTTACCAAGAGTGTGATTTTTAGTCAAAATTTCATCCTGATTCATATAACACTTGTATAGTCTTGTTACCTCCAAATGCAGGAGTATCTTTCCTTTTTCACCATTTGAAAGAAATGAGGTGGAAAGTTCAAGCTGACTTAAGGTCAACGGTCATAAGCAGAAGGGTTTATTTTGAAGAATTAACTGGGTGGCAGATGTACCTTCTATTTGAGTATATGCTCAGTCTTTGCCAATATTGTTTGCAAGTTGGGGGTACGATCCAGTGTTCTCAGATTTTCAGGTATCGACTTGTGTTCATAGACATTTTTCTTCTGTAATTGACCTACAGGATGAAATTATTCTTCTGTCTGCTTGTGCTCATATCTGATGCAAGTTTCACCACTGAAGATCAGTTTCAAGTTGCTTGGAAGCTGAGCCGCTCTTTCCAATAGCTTTCAGAATTCTCTTGAACATTGACAGTCTTTATTATGTTCAGAAACAAAATCCAGCTTAGGGCATATAAACCCAAAGATTTATTTTATTTTTTGCTTTTAAGAAAATGAGAGAACATAGTCAGCAAGAGCTCCCTTAGAGTTTTAATTTCTAGGTATTGTTTATAAAACATTTGCAAAATAACAGTCATGATTCTAATCATACTTGATCAAATAAGTGGAACAGTTCACTAAGATGTGTGTGTTTTTGTAAAATCCTTTAAAAACTGAAGCTCTTTTAAAGAAAAAGAGTACTGTGTAGCTGGATCTTAAGAAGATTAACATATATGAAGTGTTATACAGAATGGACTTTCCATAAAACTTGAGCTACCTCCTGTTGAGCATATGGGAATTCTTATCCCCACCTCGGGGTCATCTTCAAGTCTAGTCAAGCAATTCTGTCCATCAGAAGCCTGCAGTAGTCTGTAATCTGTAAGTCTGTATAATTACATAGCAGTTCATTTGCATGTACTGCCAAATTCCAGTTTCATAAGAAAGATTAGCTTCTGTTCAAAACACAATTTTTAACAAATGCACTGGTTATATTGTGACCAAGAATAAGGTTTTATAACAGAAGTAATAGATGCATATATAGTACATGGTTCCAAAAAAGTGTGGAATGGGCACTGTTTTATGAGGATAATTAGCACTTTTCCTTCTGCTGCAAGGTTTGAGGCAGAGAGCTTTAAAGAACAGCTGCAATTTAGTCCTGGTATACATAAGTAATTTTGTGTTTTCAGCATTTCATTACTTCTGGTTCAAGAGTTCAAGACTTTTTTTCATATTGCACAATCCATTATATATATCCATAAGGTGTTGAAAGGCTGGGGCCTATGATATTAAAAAGGATGATTTAAAGCTCCTGGATGAAGACTGGTCAAAAATTCAACCTCTGGAGCAGAATCAGTCTATTGCAAGCATAAAGCTAACAAGCTAATCTCCGCCCCAAACAGGATTTTCTTGCGGGGTCGGGGTGGGGATCGCAAGACTGTGGGATAAACTACAAGAAATCAAGACTATTGAAAAACTAACCTCATATACAAACTGTATGTGTGTATATGTATATATCTATCAATAGATATACACACACGTGTGTAAAATATGCATACACAGTCACACACATATATGTATGTATATATACATACATATATGTGTGTGTATATTTTATACACACACACGCACACACACATACTTGCATACATACATATATGCATGAATGAATGAATATAGTATTAGGTTGATGTAGCTTTTATGGTCCAAGAATTATGTGAGAAGCAAGGATCTCTTAGGGCAATATCTATGCAGCTGGTAGAATAAAAAGATAGGAGAGTTGGACAAGCTTTTGAATGCAAGACATTCATGCATATTAATATATATGTGGACTGCAAAATGTGAAAAAGAAAAATCTGAAATAAAATACAATTATAGAAGTAACAACATCAACTACTATGTAAATTACTAACAGGACAGGTCATTTTGAGGGTTATCATATATTCCCTGAAGGGATCTTTTTTTTTTTTTTTAACAAGTACTTTACAAGTACAATTGTATCAGTGATGAACCCATGCCTTCTTTCTTTATGATCCTTAGCCTAAGAATTAGGTTGTACATTTAATTCATTGGTGTGTAAAAATGTTTTAGGTAACTTACTCCAAAGACGCAAGCCTCTTCTACCAATATAAGCTACAAAGTCCAAGCTATTCCAACCAGTCTCTCTTGCTGTGTTCTAGCAAATCAGCATATTGAGTGGTTTTGATGTGGAGTCACAGGGTGAGAGAGAAGTAGGGCTGGAAGAGACCTCCAGAGGTCATCTAATCCAACCCCATGCCTGAGGCAGGATTATCCCATACCACCATAACTTAAACCAGAGTTCAAGAAACCCCCAGCATGCAGCACATGAGGCCAGTTTGCTCGGCACACCACAGCTGGCCTGGGCTCTGGGCAGCTACTGCTGGCCATGGAACCTGGGCTGCTCACAGCAGGTGGCAGGGGGCTACAAGTCCTGCTGCGAGCAGCCTGGGCTCTGTGGCAGGCAGCAGCTGCACAAAGCCCAGGTTGGCTATGGCAGGCAGCCAGGAGGCTACCAATAGCTGCATAGCTTCGGAGCCCCAGTTACGCTCTGTGGCGGCAGCAGCTGCATGTGCACCTTGGGGCACACCGCTGGGAAGGGAACTGGGGCAGAGCAAACCTGGCCCCACCTCCACTGTGCATCCCAAGGTACATGTGTAGCCACCACCACCACAGACCCAGTGCTGGGGCTCTGGACCACAGTGCGAACAACGGCAGCCTCCTGGCTGGCTGCTGCAGGTGCCAAAGCCTGGGCTGACTGTGACAGGTAGCTGGGAGGCTGCCAACAGCTGCAGCAGCCTCCGGCCAGGCCCTGGAACCCTGGCTGGGCTCTGTGGTGGAACGGGCTGCACTTGCACCTTGGGGTGGATGGTAGGGAAGGGGCCAGCATTGCGCAGTGCAGTATCGCTTGTCTTGGTTTTTACATTCAAATTAAAATTATTTTCCATTGCTTAAAATTACAAACTATTTTCCATTGCTTCCCCACTTAATATACTGCATATTTTTTGTATTGTAAATGAGTAACTGCCTTGTAAAATTTGCCAGAGGGGAACCAGAATGTTTTGACAGCTGGGAAGGGAAAGGTGGACTTCCCAAACTAAATAAATAAAAAAGGGAGTGCAGCTAAATACTCTGGCATTGAGAGGGGGATGCCTCCCTTTCTGCCCACCTTTGGGACAGAACAGCAGTTATTTAAAACTTTGAGGGGAAAAAGCTGAAGTCTTGTTCCTGAATAGTCTGTGCTATCAGAAGCAATAAAAGTAGTGCCATCACTATCAAACAACAAATACTGATTGAAATCACACCCAGGCATTTATTCCATCAGTAACACTTGAACTGAATCAGAAAATAAGCAGCCTGATTAACCCGTGTGGCTTGATTATTCTCCCAGTTAGGCATTACCTAAAAAACATATGCCAAATTTTGTATTCAGAGTTATTGTGAAATGACTTTAATATTGTAGAACCAGTAGATTTTTTTTTAGCTGTCAGAATTTAACTAGTAAAATTAAGTTGTGGGCTGCTGCCTTCATACTTTGAGAGCTCTTTCGTTGCCAAAGCTGACATAGGCCAAATCTGAAGGTGATGCATCAGTAAGTTCACATAGCTGTCATTCTGATTATTTATTTGTTTTTTTCTAGATTACGCATTCCCAAGGAGGTGCTACACAAACACTAATGGATGGAACAGCACAAAGAATTCAGATTGTCCCAGGCGATTCAGGACTGTCTTTACCACAACGCATACAGGTATGCGTTAGCTAAAATATCTTGCAGTAATACGATACACTTGTCTTTAGAGACCTACCCTTACTTCACGGTGGAAGTGGGGTGCGTGGCCTCGCCTTTAATTTTGCAGGTTTCCCTTTACACCCTCCACCCAACTGACTGGTGGAGAGGCCATGTGCTTGCACCTTGCTCCCGATCGACGGGGAGACGAAAACTGTGGTTTTAAATATGGCGCCATTTTTACCTCTTGCCACTGATTGGCTGAGGGGCCCTGGAGGCCCTGATGTTTGTTGCTGACTGGCGAGGAGGCAAAAACCATACCATGTTTAAAACCATGGTTTTTGCTTCCCTGCCAATCAGGAGGGAGTGGTGGGACACCTCTGCCAATTAACGGCTGGGGATGGGGGATGGCATGTGGAGGAACATGAAAGATTAAAGGAGATGCTGTGCATGCCACTTCCACCATGAATTTGGTAGGTCCCTACCTACCTCTTTCTTTTTTTCACATGTCCTTCCTTTTTAATTACTTCCTGTTCTTTTCTGCAATGTAAAGAGAAATATACCCTGGATGACAAATTCCTCTGTGGTATATAGTGATTGGACTTCATGTTGTCACTTGCTTTCTATTGAAGGGTTGCACAGCCTGCACTCTTGTAAGTGCCTTGTTTCTTTAAAACTGAACAAAACACTGAATTCCAAGAAAATACCTGTTGATTACCAAGGATTTTTTTATGCATAGTTACAGAAATAATATTGTTAAAAGGATTAATTATGTTTATATTTTTACATTTCAATTGCAGTGTTTGAAAGGTTTTGCAGTGTATTTTAGAAAATTCTATATGGATCATAGTTGTGGATGTGTGTGACAAAAATGTGTTACTAACTTTTCTGAACTCCTTGATAGAGTCTCCATATGGTTATTGTTTGGATGTACTAACAAACATCACTCAGCCTAGCACTCTCATCAGAGATCACACCTTAGGTATCAGGGTATATTTTTTTCCCAACTTCCTACCCACAGACAATATTCAGTAGATATTTAACATATTAGTATAGGCCATTGCCATGTTTAGGTGGATTAGAGCACTTTAGGAATGGAACCTTTCTTTAAAAAAGTATATTTGAAGCCCTGCAAGTGGGAGGTAGGGGTCCTATTCCGATCTCATCGTAAATTCTTTTTCGCTTTGTCTTGCAAATGATTTTTTATTTATGATTGCATACAAACACGCTAATCAAAATACAGCTGTTAAGGTCATCTTCACTGCTTGTGGTTTTCACTTCAACCTTCACTTATTTTTGCAGTGCTCCCTAATTCATTGCTTTGTGTGCAAGCATTTTCCTCTTTCAAGGCCTTTCATGATTCAGCCCCTCTCTTCCTGTGCTTTTGCCTCTTACTATATCTCCCTTGCCTTTCTGCTCCACCAATATGAATTATCAGTTGTATCTGTTCTTGTCCTCTTCTCTTTCACTGTCTCCATGCTTTCTTCTATCCTAGGTATTATTTATGGCCTGCCAGCCCTTTTTTTATCCATGAGGCCACTTCATCATCATCTTCCAAATCCCTTCTCAGTGCCTATGTGCTCTCAACATCAAGATTGTACATAGACCTCTTCATGTAAAACCATAAGCCTCTAAACTGCCTGAGCCAAATGATGCAGCTCAGTTAGCATAAAAACACTAGAGAGTCATAAACTATCATGTAAACCAGTCACTGGAGGGGGAAGCACATATTTTGTAAGTGGGGAGTACACATACAATGAATTTGTTAAATTGAATATTTGCTTGTGTATCAATTGGAGATTTTGGGGTGGGTTTGGTGTCTAAAGGGACTGGTATTTTCAAGAATTCTCAAATCATGCAGTTACTACCGAAGGTAGCTGAATGGTCTTCTTTTCCTGTCTACTTTCCCATCCCATATTTTCTTCGTCTCAGTCACTCATTGCCTATTGTTTCAGAATAGACAGAAAACTCGCTGTATTTGTATGTCGCAAGGCACTAGTGTGCTCTGCTCCTTTAAAGAGCTGAAACCGCTAGGGGAAGAGCCCTTGCTGGTTGGAAGGGCAGCCAGAACGAGCTAGTGGCCCACACCTGCCAGTGGTCAGCTGACCAGAAGGGGCAGGGCCTGGCTCACATATAAGCCCCAGGGCTGAGGCCAGAAAGGCAGTTCCCTGCCAGTAGCCAAAGGGGAAGGAGCTCTCCCAGAGCAAGCAAAGGGGAGAGGCCTTACTGCAGGAGCGGCTTCTAATACTGTTGAGGGGCAGAGCATTCCCCGGTACAGTTTGAATGATGTTATAGCCAGCTGGCTTGAATTTATGTTATAGCCTTGGGGCTTGCAGGTTGATTTTTGTTTACAAGACTGGTGGTTTGGATGAGGCTATTAGGGGACGGAGAAGGCCTCATAGGGGGCCCATGGCAGTATGGGGACCCTGGTGCCAGAGAGGGCGTGGCATTTGGGGTGCACAGACCCCAGCGCCAGAGAGGGCACAGCACTTTGCAGGGCTGCAGAAGGCCCAGGTGCCAGAGGGTGCAGTACTGTGCAGGGCTGCGGAAAGCCAAGCGCCAGGGAGGCACAGACTGAGACAGGGCTGCGAAGAGCCCAGGGAGGATAAGGGGGCCAAATTACAACAAAGCTCAGACCAAACAATGTCAGTACCATCTGCGAGGCTTGGGGCACAGTAAAGGAGCCACTTATAGCCCATAAGGCTAGGGTGCCCCGAAACACCCGTTGTGACATCTGTTTTCTGGAGCAGGACCCACCAGAGGTCCGGAAAACCCACAGGGTCCAGAGACTCGATCAAGACCGTGTCCAAGAGGACTTAAAGGCAACCTCCCTATCATTCATACCATCAAAGACATGGTGGGCGTGACTAGAGGGTGCCCATTGGGCCAACTTGGCACAGTAAGGGGGCCTTGGGGAGATCACGGCCATTCTGCAGGACCCCATCCCATGACAGTATGTACCATAGCAGAATGGAACCCAAATCCTGAATTGGGTCTCCAGGCACTACAGTAATACAGATCATTTTTAGCAATAACAGAGAGACCTGGTAGAAATTTACTAGATTTTTCTAGTAGTCTTCCATTGAAAAATGCACTTCTGTTTCAAAGACAATTTCAATAGGAAATGTTCAGAATGTTTAACTTCGAGTTTATTTAATTTTTTAAAATTTTGATTTAATATATATATACACTTATTTAATTTTAAAATGATAACATTCTGAACAAAACATTTTGGCAATGTTGAAACAAAATATTTTAGTGGTTCCAAATCAGAATACTTCGGGAGTTTAATTTGTGGAAAGTATTTGATATTTTTTTTTCCAGGAAAGAAACCCCCTCAAATGTTATTTTACTACTAGGTGATAATACTGGCTCCCACCTGGCTCTGTTTACATGAAGTATATTGTAATTATGGTTCTGTATACCTAAACATAGTAAAACAAAACACTGAATAACTTCATATTTCTCTAATTTATGCATGGAGCAGTTTCACAGATGTATTAAAGAGCTGCCCAATTGGAAGCTAAGGCTTCTGAATATAAAAAAAAAATACGACTTGAAAAGCAGTGAGAAGAAACTTATCCTGGAGTACTACAGAGTTTTGTAAATGAAATAACAAGTGAAAAATCATACATTCATTACTCAAAATAATGAAATAATTTCCCTGTTTAATCAAATGCATCCTGTGGCAAAATTCAGCTTCAGATTACTAAGAAATGCAATACCTTATTGAACTCTGAGATATTCACAGTGGAGGGTGGCTTTATAAGCGATTTTTTTTTCTTCTTTTTTTCTAGTTAATAGATTTTTAGCCTCAAGTTGTCTGCTTAGATGGATTCGTGTACTTTTGCACAGAACCCTATTGACTGCAGTGTGTTTGTGGGGGGGTTTATCTAGATTTGATAGACATACAAAAATAACATACAGTAGAAATCTACTAAAAATAAGCAGTCAAATATGTCTGAATGATCGCTAAAATTCCAGGAAGGAGTTCTTTGATTGTTTTATAGTGTACAGGTAAATAAACTATAATGTAAAGCATCTACTGAACTGGAGAAAGTGATTCTGTATTATAGTATGTACACTTTGTTTTCTTTAAATAAAAAAATCAGAAGTGGCCAGCCTGGGGCACAGGCAGCCTGTGTGTGTGGAAAATGGCAGATTGAGGAGGATACAACACCGTGGCAGATAGGGCAGGGAGCAGAAAGCAAAGCAGCTGCTTGGGTAAGAGAAGGAGATTGGAATGTTACTCAGGAAGGATGCAGGGCTAATGTGTGGCACTTCTTGTCAAAAAGGTTGGCTCCACTGAAATAAACTATGCATGTATTTTTAACCATGGTGAAAATTTAAAGGAGAAAGCAATGATAAGCGTGCTAGCCTGGGCCAGGGAGAGACTTATTTTTCAGTTTTCAGGTGAGTCAAAGATTTCTTGGTCGTCTTTGAGCTTCACTCTAGTTTTTATGCCCTTTTTTCCCAACCCATGAATGGGAATATTGGCTGCTTGCAGGTGTCAAAAGAACCAAAAATGGTGCTTTACTTTAGACTCAGCATGCTCCCACGCCAAGCCCAGCACATGCCCAGAAAAGGTAGCATGTTAGTTGCACCTGGCTTTCCCAGCATGTGTAAAGATTGGGTGCTTTAGTGGTCTTTTTTTGGCACTTCTATGTAATAGCTGATTGAATCAGCTATTAGATAAAAGCACCAAAAAGCCCCACTTAAGCACCTGATCTATACAAATGCTGCAGAGCCACTTTTAAGTAATACACTGCTGGCTTCTGCTTCTGACAGAGCATATTCCCCACCCCCAGCTGGCGGCACCCATTATTTCTACCTCACGCCACCAGGGGGCTTATGAGTAATAAGCATGTGAAAGACTGAAGTGTCTAAATCAAGGGTGTCAAAGATGGAGCCCCTGGTGCTGCCTATGGGTCTCAGTGACCCACAGGTAGCATGCAGAGTGCACTAGATGGCCCTGCATGATGCCTGTGGAGTGGCTACTATGTGTAGCACAGCCCCAGAGTAGCTGCGTGCAGCTCGCAGTGGTGTCTCCAGGACCATATGACCTAGCCACATGGCAGTCAGAGTAGGACCAAAATAATGGGCTGGTCTGTGGGTCCAGTTCAGTCAGACTGGCTCTGAACCACTCATCTGTGGGCCAGATGAGTTTGACACCCCTGCTCAAAATACTATACCAGGCAGTCCTCGACTTACGACTTTTTGAGTTAAGACAAACGGTATTTACAACATTTGTAAACTGACACCCTGTTTCGAGGTTCCCACTCCCGTTTTGCCTTTACAATGGTCAACACGGCTGCATCCAGCTGGTAAGTCTGTTGTGTTCATGGGGAAGAAGGGGGGGGAAGGGGGGGCTGGCGGTGGGAGCAGTGATGAGAGCCACTGGACAAGCCACCACACAAGCAGCTCCCAGACAGGTGGCGCACAGCAGCACAAGCCACCCCACCGCCTCCCTGCGCAGTGCTTGCCCCAACCCATGTCCCAGCCCCAGCCTCAATTCCTCCCTCTGTGGAGGTGTTGATCTGCCCCCACAAGCGCCTTCCCTCCCCCACCACAACAGACTTACCAGCTGGATTCAGCTGTGTTGACTGTAGTAAAGGAACCAATCCCCCATTTATAACATAGTTCCTTTGGGAAAAATTGGTTCAGAGTTACAACTTAAGATGCAATTTTCAGGAACCAATTGTGTTGTAAGTCTGAGGACTGCCTGTAGTAATAGAGAACATACAAAGATCTGCAAGAAACAGGTGGGCATTAAAGTTAACTTCAAGTAAAAACTTCAAATTAGGGTTATTTCTACTGACCTATAACTCATGAATAGGCTGAGCATTTCTGTTTAGAAAGGTTCTCTTTGATTTTTTTTTTTTTTTTTTTAAATAAATTGCTCATCCTTCATCAAAGACCTGTTTTGCTGGACAAAGTTGAGAGAGAGACTGGCAGTAATTAGAAATAGGATTTATAACAGAAATTGGCTTCAGCCTTAACTATTGTACCTAAATCTTTAAGATTCATATCTTCTGACATGTTGGCAAAATGTACAGTTACCAAAACATAAATGAATACAGACCCGCTTTATTTTTATTTGAAAATAAGAAATAAATGAAAAAATATATATTTTTATCCTTAAAAATTATATTCTTGATTATTAAAAGAAACTTATTGCCAAAAAACATTCCTTAAAAGAAAGAGAAGGTGGCAGGGAGAAATATAACTATTTAGTTCATCTTCTTTAGCAGGGGCATATGTGCAAGGATGTTAAATAAATGCATGTATTCCAGTGGTGCCCAACTCAAATGACTCCCTGGTAACACTATTGCCATTTGTCCTGTTGCCAAATATCCAGCTCCCCATAGGCCCAGAATACAGAGGTCCAGGGATTGGATCTTGGTTACCCCTGGTATATTCAATTGAGAATAACTGTTCATTGGTGGTTGCTAGAGGACTAGAGCTACTAGAGGAGTGATTGTGAATGAGCATTAGAACTTGGAGTAGGTTTTCTAATGTTCTAAAATTCATGGGAGTGAGAGTATTGAGTTTGTTCAGTGGTCTGTAAAAAAAAAAAAAAAAAAAAAAAAAAATGTGGACCATTTACAAAATTTGAATGTGGTTTTAGATTAAGATTTCAAACACCTCTAAAGTGTGTTTATGTATATGTTTTAATTTCAGTGGTTTTTTGCTTGAGCTTAACTCACTGGGAGAGGGCAGTCCTGTACATAGAAGTCAAACACAAAAGTCCCTTTCTTTTTGGTGCAAGTTAGGGCCCCAAAATGAACTTAACATACCATAACAATTTGAGATAATGCATTTATCAGATTGTCACAGATCAGCAGACGGGCCAGAAGATACAGATTGTTACAGCACTTGATCACAGCACAACAGGCAAGCAGTTCATCTTAACAAATCATGATGGCTCTACCCCAAGCAAGGTAATCCTTGCCAGACAAGAATCTACTCCTGGAAAAGTTTTCCTAGCAACTCCAGATGCTGCAGGTGTCAATCAGCTGTTTTTTGCATCCCCTGATATATCTGCGCAACACATCCAGGTAGAGCATCCACTTTTATTTTATAATATTCAAATAGGATAAGAAGAGATGTCTGTTTTCAAATATTGTCTGTGCTGGTTTTGTCTTTTCAGTCTTTTTAGTGTATATAATCCCTGATAGAATTTGAGAATGAAGGAAGTGATTTCTTCTTCAGTATGTGTTGTAGTGTCATGATTTTTCGTACTCTTTTAAGTAAAACTCAAAAAGTATAAGGGTCAATGGGATACCATTTACAGTGCTTGTTGCATAAATTATTTTGAAAAGAAAGTTTGAGGGAGAAGACATTGAAGGCCTGTCAGACTGGGTTGGGATGCCTGATCCAAATGTATGGAAAGCATGGAAGGACAAAAATGGTGAATGTAGTTGTGTCCTTTCCTTTTTTTTT